GACCCTCCCCCACTCATGTACTCTCTCTCATTCTCGCTCTCTCAAATAAATAAATAAATCTAAATAAATAAATAAATAAACTTTCCAGAGCACTTCTTAGCCTCTCCAGTTTCCCAGACTAATGGTGAACGTGTCTTCCACCAGTGTAACCCGAGGGCGTGCACTTTCGGCCATCCCGTTGGCCCCAGGGCTCCGAACAGTAGCCCTGGCCAACAGAACACGGTCTCTGTGACTGTCCCATGAACGAATACACGAACCCCACCAAGCAGAACACAAAATTCACCCAACAGCTGTACGCCCAATGCTTCTGTCTTCAGAACCAGGAGTGGACGAAGGCTTCCCACAAAAGGCCGGGCATACTATTTCGGCTTTGCGCGGCTGGCGGTCCCAATGCGCCCTCTGCCACACGCCTCCAGGGCGGCCGCCGGGCATGCACGCCATGGGCATGGCTCTGTGCCCACTCGACCCCGTGGCCCTGAGATCCCCACTTCCTGCATTTCCCTTGTCACCACGCATTCTCACCCCCGCAGCTGAAAATGAAAAATCCATTCTTTTTTCTTTAATCTCCACACCCAGCGCGGGGCTCGACCCCAGACCGAGTCGCAGGCTCCCCCAGTTGAGCCGGCCGCGCCGGAAAACTGCTTTCTCAGCTGCCAGGCTGTACGAGAAGAGGCGGCGAGCGGGATTTGGCCGCGGTGCGGGGCCGATCCGTGCGCCCCCCTTCACAGGCGTGCAGAGCGAGCTCAGAGCGGTACGGATGGCGCTCGTAATCCCACGGCTTCAAGGGACCTGCTGCCCGGGCTGGGGCTGGGGTGTGCTCCCCCGCCCCTTGCTGCTGGGTCAGGGTCGTCCCTCCCCTGCTCGTACCTTCCAGGGCCAGCGCGGCGAAAACGGGGTCGTCGGAGGGCGCACCCCGCACGTCCTCCAGGATCTGCTCCACCGTGGGGGGCGCCGGGCGCGTGGGCAGCACCACTCGCTTCTTGGCCTTGGAACCCATCCCTGGTGGCGAGAGAAAAGGACGCTGACCGGGGCGTCCACCTCTCGGCCTTTTCCTGGGCCCTTCCTCCCGCCCAGCAAACTCCTACACACCCGCCGGAGCCCCGTTCCCGGGGAAGCCCGCCCCGCTCTGTCCCACCCCTTCGGGCTCGCTTCGCCTCTGGCCCTCCCAACGACCGGCAGCATGGGGCCAGGGGTTTCAGCGCCCGGCTCCATCTCTGCCTCAGTTTCCCCGTGAAAGCCTCGAGCGCACCTACCGCCTCACCCTGGCGCGCGTACAGAGCGGCCAGCGCCGCTGAAAACCCACTTCCGCTTCCGGTCGCAGCGCAGCCCCGCCCCCCAGGCACGCGGCGCACACTTCCTGCCTCCTCTGGCTCCTGTCCGCCCCTCGTCGCGAGGCCACGCCCCCTGTTAAAGGGGCCGCGCCCGCGAGGGTCCCAGTCCCGTCAGACCGGACCGAGAAGTACGCGACCTCAGCCTCCCCGGCTCGCGGGTCCTGGAAGAGCATGGGGTGGGCGTGGGGTCCTGTCCCGGCTCCCCTCGCTGCGTCACAAAACACGGAGTACTGATTTTCTGCCAAAAGGGGACAGGGCGCAGAACCCACGTGGCTGTCGTGGGAACACAGTTACTACCCGAGCAAGGGGGATGGCTGTGCCAGTAACCGGGGAGCTGGCCAGGGACGCCGGACGCAGGTCGGCGTCGCCCCTCCGGTCCCTAACACCTCCCGCCTGGGCTCCTCCCCTGACGTCTAGGGTGGGAAGACAGGCTGAGCAGAGGGCGGGTCTGTGCCTTTTATTTATTTATTTATTTATTTATTTTAATGTTTTATTTATTCATGAGAGTCAGAGAGAGA